TCGAGGAAAACTGTGAGCTTCGAGGAAATCTTCAAATCTTTTTCGCAACGCGCGCAGTTTGGAAAATTGGGGAATATTCTCGAATATTCCCCAGTTTCAGCTGGGGAATATTCGGTCACGTGACGTGTTTAGACCAATTGAGCGCGAGCGAAAATATTTGATGGATTATAAGAACGAATATACTTGTACAGTGCTTTTTCAGTACGCTAATGCATATTTGTGTATATGTGTCTTACCATTTGAGATGCCAAGCGAGGTGGTTTGCAGTGTCTGGGACGATTCAGTTTGTTGAATTTCTTTACCGTATTCCTAAAAAAAACAAAAAATGAAAAAAAAAATTAAAATGAGAACATTGCATGTTTGTATTTCATTCGTGCCGTTTCTTTCTTTCCTTCTTTCTTTCTTCATTTTTTTTTTTAGCAAAACGTCTCCTGACATCGGTTTCTGTTTGGTCCCTGTTTTTGTAACTAAGACGGACAAAATTGTCACAGCTAACTTAAAGATAGCCTTTCTTGAAACAACCACTTTCATTAGCGAGTTTTCTCTTTCCGTTTATACGACGATTTCTCTCGTTGTTCCCCTCAACCCCCTCCCCCCCTCCCTCCTCCCTCTCTATCCTTATCTCTCTCTTTGTCTCTCTTGACCCTGACGTCCTATGTAATAGCTACCTTATGATCATAAACTTACACGCTCAAAATATGCTACGACTTCGCTGTTGGCCTGATCGTTTTCATGTGACGCTGTTATTCCACAGAAAAATGACTGCTTCGTTTTGTCAACGTGTCTGATGACAAAATGGCAACAAGCGAAGTCTGTGGCGTTCTCAGGTGTGTTCCATGCATCCTTTGATTTTATCGTCTGCAGCAGAATAAAAGAAGAAAAAAACATCAGTCATCTAACTGTTACTTTCGTAACCAGTTTCTTAACGTTTTTGACACCCAGAAGACGCTTTAGCAGACATTGAAAGACCCAGTAGTGTGTCGTATTCATGAAAGTTCCACTGAAATAAAGTGGTAAGCTGACGAACATCATTGATAAGGTTTAAGCTTGTAACAAAGGGACAAACACTTCTGGCAAGGAAGCAGGGAATGAAGTTATTACATGCCATGCAAAGTCTTTTATGACTAGCAATGAATGAATGAATGAAACTTTATTGTACACTCCCAAAAATGGGGTTTTTCGGTGAACAATACAAATACAATAAAAATACAATAAAAATACAATGAATTAAAAAGTGTATTACTACTGATTCTTGTTTCAAAAACTCGTCAAGCGTCTTTGCTTTAAGATTTTTCTTAAAGTTTACTGAACTTTTGCACAGTTTTAAATCTTTATCTAACAAACTCCATAACTCTACTGTCCTGTATTGAAATGTCCTCTGACCAGCAGCGGTTTTACATTAAGTGCCTACTAAAAGTGAGTGCCAACTAAAGGCGTATTTTATAAAGTTCATAACCACAAGGTGTTTTCCATACCTTCACTTTGCTATCTTTGACCTGAAATCCGGGTTCTAGAGCAGTAAATTCTATTCTGATATCTTCATTAGTGTTGGACACAAACAGTCCAGCGAGAGCTGTCAATAGTCTGTTTCCCATTTGTTCTTCTTTCTTGCAAACGTTCTGTTTATACGAGATAAATAAAGCTCAGTTATACTAAACTAAGAAGAGAACAACACCATCAGACTTTCTGCCACTTTGGTTGCTAAATCAACTGTGCAATCAGATCATCTTGATCGATACCCACGAGGTACTTGGCTAGGGAATTGAAGAATTGTAGACCAGTAAAGTTACTACTATGTTTCCCAGCTTTTCCCTATACAAACAAACCATAATGCAACAACAACCACAGTTTTCCAATTTTTACGCTTTAAAAAGTGGCTAGATACTTTTGGCCCGGTTTACGGCCAACGGTTAAAGCAACTGAGACCAATCTTACAACAGATATGGGTGCCTTTTAATTTACACTGATTGCTTGTATTTGTTTTCTTTCAGTTATGTGTTACCTTAAAGGCTATTGTTGAATCGTCGATGAGATAAACCCGAATTTTCCAGTCTCTTCCTTGTGTTGGTTTTCTTCCAAAGATCGCCATTTGCATTCGTTTCTGGTCATCATTTCCTGGAATTCCAAAGGCCGCGATCTCAATGTCTTCACACAGTGTTGGTAGGGTCACTTCAATGTCGTTATGTTTCTCCACTACTCTAGCGTCCGGGTACACTTCTGTAACGTTCCTCCACCCGCTTGTCTTTGGAGTCTTTCC